TTTTATATAAATAAAGAACAAGCATCTGTGCATAAATTTAAGTCTATGCCGAAGCTCAGAAAGCATATTAAAGCCTTAGGGGCGTTCTCATTCTCAATTGCAAGTTTAATGCCAGAAAGTTTGAAAGATTAGTGGAAAACTGAGTGAAACTACATTAATTTCCATCATTACATTACATTCATTTCCATCAAAAAACCCTCCAAAGAAGCCTCCCATTAGTTAGGGTATTCACAAGTCCACCGACTCCTGCCAATGCTGGCCGCTTCTTGTTCTTTTCTGGCGCAGAGTTTTCCTTCTTAGCACGCCATAGACAACAAGAGCAAACAGCTCGCGACTGCCACGGGCCAGAAATGGCATCAGCTGCACTTGGCTGAGGATATATCCTGAGCCGTTTCCTGCCAGCCGCGCCCACCGCCCGCTTGGCCTCCCGCACCGCGCCGTCTATCTGCCGCTGTGCACGCACGCCGAGTGACTCGCGCGAGTCGCTGGCATAATGCAATAAGCGTAGCCAACGATAGCGACGACGTCCTTAGTCCTTGCTCCAACTTTGAGCCCAACAACAAACAGTGTGGGGGAGTTGGGCGTGGAGGGGCGCATGTGTGCCAGACAGGTTATGCGCTATAAAAAATTTAAGAAATTGCCGCCACTGGCGGAGCCAAACGACAATACTTTTGTGCATTGCACAAATCAAAATACTTTAGCCGGCTCCGCACTTTGGCCTTTGTTGTCTGCCCCGCAGAAGCCCCAAACTCTGGCGAGAACTGAGTGAAAGTTCAGCTGATGCCCAAAAACCCACCAAGGACAACAAGCTGCTAAATAAATTATGTATTTTGTATTTATGGCATCAATAAGAGAATTATTTTTTGTTCGAAAGTCAAATATAATAAATCAGTTTTTGATAGAAGCTTATTTGTTGTGGACTTTTCGGTTTACTTTTCTTTATTGATTTGGAAATTAGGAAAATTATTTCGGAAATTAAATTGAAGAATTAAGACTTAGTTTTGTTTATTGTTTATTTTAGACAGATAGAAATTTCTTAAAGTGAAGGAAAATAGAAATGAATTCTATGCAGAAATGAATTGCATTGCCTGAAAAACTTAGTTTCATTGGATCCTCAGTTGGTTTTATGATAAATGCTAAACAGTTGGGAACTTGTATCTAAGAGAACCTATAAAGATGGAGTTGTTTTTCAATCAAAATAAAAATTCAGGGCTACAGAGATCTATCTATCTATCTATCTATCAGTATATTTTTAGGCAAACCAAAACCCATATGGATCACATAAATATGAAATCAATAATCCTTTTACTTTACATATAAATTAATCAAATTACAATAGAGTAAATTAATAACCCAAGTAAATTAATAATCCTTAGTTAATAACTGAATAAAGCGTAAATACAGACGTTACTCCTAAGACTTCATTGATTTGCACTGCATTACCAAGTAATTTGTATGATTAAATTTTGATAAATCAAATTAAGTAAATGTCTAGATTTAGCTCAATTAAATTCATTGCAATTCAATGGAATTCAATTCTGTATTATCAACTTGCAGCTGATGTGAATCCTGGCAAAGTCCCTGTGACAAAGGCAGGCAAAAGCGCATTTACGTTACGAATGCCTCAGCGCGTGTGTCTTAGTGTGCGTGTCTGTGTGTGTGTAAGTGTGTGTGCGTGTGTTGTATTTGTGCTAAGCCAAAATTGCGTCATGTTGTGTCATTCCCAGGCTCGGGGCATTTCGCAGCTAAGCCCAAAGGAATTGGGTGAAAGGTCATTATACAGTAAACGCCTGTCTCTCTCTCTGCCTCTCCCTTTCTCTCTCTCTCTCTCTTTCTCTGGTCACTTGTCGTTTAGTAGTTGCTTAGTTGGCTTAATCCTGCTGTCTATTGTCATATCAACTGTTGCATGCAGCAGCAGCAGCGGCTAATGAGAAGAAGCAGCAGCAGCTGCATAACAATCAACAAATTTAATTCAATTGGTTAGCAACGTTTAAAATTGCAGCAGCCAATTAAATGGCACACGCGCATCCTGTGGCCAGCACTCTGATTTCTTTTCAATCAACATAAGATAAACTGAGAGCGAAAGAGACAAAGTGAGAGAGAGAGAGAGAGAGAGAGAGAGAGAGAGAGAGAGAGAGAGAGAGAGAGAGCGAGTGGCATATAAATCAAATTACATGGCACAAAATGCCCATAAAGCGCATAACCGCAATATACACTTAAAATGCATCCAAAATGATTGAATTGTGTGTGCGTGTGTGTGTGAGAGTGTGTGTGTGAGTGGAGTAGTGTGCGTGTGTGCGTGCGTTTGCATATGGCAAAGCCCACTTGTGTTCGGTTTATGGCAACTCGCTTGCGCCGCTTCGTGTCGGTTGCCTTTGATAAAATTATCCGCATCCGCATTCGCATCCGTCCCGTTGGCTCTGTTGGGCGCTTCGGCACCTGTTTCAAAACTCAAACATCCGTTGTACATATTTTAAATTTAATTACTGCATGCAGCAACACAACGGCCAACAACCAAATCCAAGCAGCCAGCCAAACAGCCAGCCAGCCAGCCAGCCAAACAGCCAGCCAAGCAGATCAGCCAACCCATTTGCCTATACTACTCATCCACCTGCCCCTCCGGATTTACCCTTCTCCTTTGGCTTGTCCATTTCATGGATCCTTTCATTTGTCGCAATGGCTCAGCTCTGGAGAGCATCATAAATTTTCATTCGAAAATAGTTGGCAGGCCATTCAGATCTATCCACACACACAAGCAATGGTGGCCTGTTTAAAATGCGAGGGCTGCTCGTAAATATGTGCAGTTTAATTAATGACATTTTTCTTATATTTATTATTTTAATATTATAAAAATGTTGTATTCATATTTATATAATGTGTTCAACATAATTAATCATTAATTAATTATTATAATTAATTTTTTTTTTAAAGTATGTATTTTCATATATTAAAAAAAAAAAAAAAACAGTTCTCTGCAATTTTATTTCTCATTTAAATTTATATTTTCATTTAAATTACTTTTAATATAATTTTCTTTTCTTTTATTGAATGCCTGAATTTCTTCTATTATATAAAATTGTATTTTTTTCTGTAAATCTGATATGTAAAATAATTAAATTTATTGTTTTCTGATTTTATATGTTCTATTGTATCATGAAAAAATTTTAAAAATATTTTTTCATTTTATTATGCCAGAGTGAATCCATAAATATTGATTCTAGCTTTCTTTATCATTACTAATATAAGAATCACATTATTTACATATAGATATCATATATTATGAAAAGCAACTCTTCAAGTTGCCCACTTAAATAAATATGTGTGTAAGCATTTTTACCTGGGCCATATGTGAATGGCTTGTAGAGCGTTTCGTCCTTTGCCATGGGCGCATTTTTGTACATTAAACTCAATTTGTGGCTTACATTTAATTAATTTAATAATACGAAAATGTTTTTTATTTCTCTCTCTGTCTCGCTCTTTTAAATAACCGCAACACAACAATTTTCCCCGTGTGCGCGCTTATGTGTGTGTGTGTGTGCGTGTGCAAGTGTATGCAGGTGTGTGCATTCCAGAGATTTCCATAAATAATGACCAAGACGACCACAAGCTGCCTCTACTAAGGATTTCACTCATGACTGTAGTGCTGCAGTTGCTGCAGCACAAAGCCCTGCATAGATGGCGCCACCATGCAGGCAAGTTGCGCTGCCAATAGATGGCGCTGCAAACACATTCCACATGCGAGCAAAAGCTTTGCTTTGTGTGGAAGTTAACCGAAGAGTGTGAAGGGGAGAACTATGTGCAATGTTGTTATTGTTATTGTTATTGTTTTTGTTTGTTTTCATAATTTTGTATATGTGTATGTGTGTGTGTGTGTAGGTGAGATAAACACAGCAAAGGTTGTTCGCCTTATACTTATTTTATGTTCTAGAAGTTTTTGACGAATTTACTATCATTATTCTTTAAATGGTTATTTAAAAATTGGGGAAAAATAATAATAATATTGATTAGTGCTTTTACTAACCTTTAACTAGGTCTACGGCTAAGCACTATTTTAATTATATTTTATTAAAGACTTTAGTATGTATTTAAGAGCCGCCTTACATCTAGCATGACTAATATTTTGTAAATTATATTATTTTAGAGCTATAGATTTTTTATTTTATCCCGAAATTTCCAGTATAACAGCTTTAAAATATACCATAAAAAATCCCATTTTCAGTTCAACTTAGCTATAGTGAACTTTTATATAAAATTGCTCAGTTCAGTGACCAAGGAACAGTTTATGAAGTATATTTCCCTGTTTCAGCATAGTATAAACTTGAATAAAAAATGCATTAGCTTACAGCGCTTAGGCTTACGAATACTTGAAAGATTAGAGACTTTACGATTGTCATATAACCGCAAAGATTTAATCGTATGTATGACTTATATATACTATAGTACATATGTATATATAGGAATTGTAATCTAATTGAGCTGCACTTGATACATTTATTATTATTATGATCATTGTTGTTGTTGTTGTTGCTGATTCAATGCATAATGCCGCTGGCGATAAGGCGAGTAAAAGCGTCGCGTGCTGCCAAGTGAAATGCAAGCAGAGCATCGACAGCTCCCACCTGTTGCCCCGCAGCGCAGCAGAGCGAGCTTTGAGCCCTTCCGCTTGGATCGTCAGAATTTCACTTTTCATTTGTTTACAACAAAGCAGCGCCGGCGCAAAAAGTGGCAAAAAGCTTCGCAAAGTCGCAGAGGCCAACAATCAGCAACAGAACAAAACAAAAAAAAAATCTAAAAGCTTTGAAAGATGAATCTATAAATGATGCACTGCAGCCGCATGAATTTTTAGTGTTCAACGAACGAGCTAACAGAGAATACAACCAGCTGCAAATAATCTGAGCTACTGCTCTAATATAAATATACTAGAATATATAATTTAATTAAACAAGTGTTTTCAGTTACAATGCTGAAGTCAATCAGGTAAATAGGCATCTATATATATATATATAAGATTATATAGAATCTACATACATTCCCTTCCGCTAACTCATCACCTGTAATTCATGATTACAGTTCGTCATATTGGCTGCTGGCCTTTGTGGCCATCAGTGCAGTCCTGGTGACAGCACAGGTACCCTTCCCTGGCCAGTGTCCAGAGGTTAACATACCGGAAGAGTTTGACTTGGAAGCGGTAAGTGACTCACACGCATACACACACACACACACACATACATACTTACGCACACGTGCCTCTGTTAAGCACTTGAACACTTGAAACTATCTTGAATTTAATAAATTGTAACGCTTTTCAATCGCGCTTCAATTAATTATGCAAAAGCCAATTATCAAGTTGGCATTCTAGTACTTTCTGTGTCTGCTTATCATCCAATTACATTCCATGGAATATTGTTGTTATTCGACTTGATAAGTCACTGTGATTCCATGTTTACGTTTCTTGGTTATCTATTGAATAACTTTTTAATTAAAATTTTCGTTAATTGATATCGATTGACTTACAGCAAGATATGAAATTGATGAAAGCAGTAAAATAGCAGTGAAAATAATTAATAATAGTTGAAGTAAAATGAAAATATTATTTAGCATATTATCTAGCACAAATGAATAATAATGAGAATAATGAATAATCAGAAGTAATATTATATTAATTTTAATAAATATTTTTTGCTTATGTTTTTTTATTGATTGCTGTCATGAAAAAATTTGTAATTATAATAATAATAATAATTATATTTTGTTCTTCACAATTATGAGCATAGTATTATCATTATTATTAATTTTTGTTTAGAAAGATTTATTCATATAAAATATAGTTAAACACAAAAGATATTCAAAACTTTAATTGATTGGAGTAATAAAAAAGTCAACTCCAATAAATATAAATAATACCGATAGGGGGTATTATCAAATTTCACATTAATATTATCTAAAAGCTAACTAAAATAAGTCTAAATAAAATCAGACTTAAGTCTTTAAGCCCCTTTGTCAACAAACAAGAACTGTTTGATAACCCAAATTTCAAGAGAAAACCATATGCCGCTTATCAACAAATTATAATAGATTAGATAGATAGTTTTGACAAATGAGTTTTAAATCCATTATAAAGGTTCTGGAACAATTCATGATATAATAACGCTTCAGATAGCAACAAAAACAGCTGATTCATTCGACTTGTTTTCAATTGTCTTTCAGTACATGGGGGTCTGGTATGAGTACGCAAAGTATCCGTTTCTCTTTGAGATAGGCAAGAAATGTATTTACGCACGCTACGAGATTGCCGATAACAACACAGTGTCTGTTCTGAATGCTGCTATCAATAGATTGTGAGTATTAAAGATTGTACATAGATAAAGAGCTCTATCTGAATTCTTGCATCTGTAGAACCGGAAGCCCATCGAATGTGACTGGCACAGCCCGGGTAATTGCACCGGGTCAGCTGGCTGTCGTCTTCTCCAAGAATCGTAAGTTCTATCAAATTTGTATCTGTATCTGTATCTGTATCTGTATCTGTATCTGTATCTGTATCTG